GCGAATGGCTGCGTGGTCAGTTTAGTTGCCTGCCGGGTTAAACCACAAAACTAGGGAATTATTTCCAAACCAGTTTTCCACAGAGGAACCTGTCTTCAACTCCAACACCCACAAATTCAGCACTGTACACAGAGCTACAAACACCATTCCCCCAAAAGACACAAATCCTTACAGCATCCTTCTTGTAGGCTTTCTTCTTTCAGTAATATCTTCTGTGTCTGCCTTAGTCAAAAGAATTATATGGTTGTTGAAATGACAGATAGCTCTTGGTCCTATAAAAAGCTGCATTCTTAATGTGCAGACATCCAGTGCAACAGGTGGACAAGCCTATAAAGGAAAATGATTGGTTTATAATTTCAGTTAGTATGTACTTTGAGTCTTTAAAAAAAAGATATGAAAAAATGTAACCTTTGTCCAATGATCTGACAATAAAAACATTCACTGACTTTCCTAACTTTGAGTGGATCACTTATGCAAGAATAAAAATAGTCTTAAAACTATTGCACTTAATGGGTAAAAAAATAATCATTCCACTCTTCAAAGCAACTACACGGTTTTAGCTGTGTGTCTCAGCTGAGCCTGAGGGAGATGCCTAACATGGGAAACATAATCCCAAATAGTTTGAATTTCGCTAAGTTGTAAAAGATTGCCTGATGTGGTTATAAAAGTCTTGATTTCAGTTGCTTATAAAAAATCATTCTAGACAGAAGTACTATATTTGCTTGCCCAGTGTTACATTACATACCCAGTATTATGTCCCTAATTTGTTCAACATGCACCTTTCCGGTAAAATTTATCATATTGTCTATACTAGACTTGCAACCTAATTTGCCCAGAAGTATTCTAAATTTACAGCTTTAAGAAGATAAATACCATATTTACAAATTATACACAGTGAAGCAAGGCAACACAGCATCATGTGTACCCTGCTTTTTGAAGAAACCTCAAAATTTCTCGCAAAGACGCAGAGGGCTGCAGTGGTGACCAGGAGGCTCTAAACTGCCCTGGGCTAGTCAGAACCAGCCAGCTCTGAAACTGATGTAAAAAACCAGCAGGAAAGATAGTCACAAGTAATAATAACCATCATCATCACACTTCAAACTCCACACTGGGGCCGAAATACCCCTGAGGGAACGTAGCCCGTGGGCAACCCGCACCAGAGCAGGGGCAGCCCAGAGGGACTGCAGCCCGTGGACAACCTGCCCCAGGGCAGGGACGCCCCTGAGGGAACGTGGCCCGTGAAGGACTCGCACCAGGGCAGGGATGCCCCTAAAGGACTGCAGCCCATGGAGGACCCGGGCCAGAGTGGGTCTGCAGCCTGCGGAGGGCAAGCTGCAGTATGGACATCCGCGAGGGACTTCAGCCCGCAGACGACCATTACATGCACACGTCCTCAAACCTCCCGTTGCCTGACTGAAGGAATTGAGATGGACTGAATGTAGCCCACAGTGAAAACACAGAAAGCTGAGAGTGGAGAAGGGACAGGATAGATTGTATCATGTGTTTGTATTATTTATCTCAGTACCTCCACGAAGAGCAGAGAATATGTGTTTGGCTCTTGAAAAATGTTATAAAATTTCTACTGTCCTATGGCTTCTCTATGTCTGCTCTCTACATGCTCAAAAGATATCCTTAAGTGCTAACTTAAAATACACTTCAGTCTATCTTTCCTGGTATTTTTCATATTTTCCAGTCTTTAGAAAGAAAAATCAATACATTTTTACTGATAAGCAATTTAAAGAAAGGGAAAAGTCTAGACTTCCAAGGATCAAAAGCCCTTCTCCTAAAAAAACATGCACTAAGTATCTGGTAGCAGACTTGTTCAAATGTCTACACTCCTCTTACAAAAACTGTTTTTTCAAGAACACCTGAGAGAGAGAAACATCATCAGCTGCAGTACGGGAAAACTCTGCACCCTTCATTCCGATTTACACAGGAAAGCATGGAATTTAAAGTGTAAGTGATTTTATAGCTTTTGATGTTTTTGAAAACCTTCTACTTATGGTCTAGAATCTTAAATAGCAATAATAGATTGTTTCATTCAGACATTTGTAGACCATTAAAATACAATATGCCATAGATTTAAGTAAAATATTAATTTTGAATGTCAGCCAATGGAAAGTAACAGAATTTCAGAAGGAAACATAAGGAAACAAAGTGCCATACTACTACCCCATTCTTTTAGCAAGATAATGAGAGGGGCACCTTCATGGTTGTATCAATATATGGATCCTCATCACGAGCTGCTACTGCACTGCATCGCACTGTGAAACACTGCAGGTTCTCACTAAAGGAAAGAAGAAACCACGATGAAGGAAAAAAATTACGACTTGCAAAAATCAAGTGGTCAAGACTACAGAGAATCAGATCTTTTTCCTTTGTAGAAACAGGCCCTGAAGCCTAAGCAGGAGGGCACGCTGCTCTGTCACACGGGCCTACCCAGGGAGTTCCAGGCAGCTATGAAGGACATATCAGAGGGGAGAAAGAAAAACAAACAAACAAAGAAAAGGCAGCAGCACAGTGAAACGTAGTAACACTACCAGCAAAAACATAAATTTAGTACCTTGTAATGACGTGCAGGAACTGTGGAGTGAGAACAGCCTGCTCTGACTTCTCTGAATATTGGTAAGTAGAAATCAGTTCTACTAACTTCCCAACAGAGTAGAGATATCCAACATGAGGTAAAGAGAAAAAGCAAAAGAGACTCAGTAGTTCTCTCTTGTTCTCAGTTTCCTCATGGGCTGTCACAGAACTTCCTAGATGTAACAATAAGAAAGGCATTTTATATACCTCATAAATCACAACCTGGCAATTCCTTTGCAAGCGTGATGCCTAAAAGATGCTACCAAACCCGCTCAGGTTGCAGACTGGTTTTGTTAATAGCTAGTGAAAAGAAAAAGAACTATGCGAAGATCAATGTGCAGGTTAGATCAGTGCACAGGTCAAAAATTTGTATGCCACGTTATCTCATTTGGAGGCATTTTTAACAAAAGTGTGGATGCACTACCGAGTGAAGAAATTCTACCTATGTAACAGCATCTGAGAGTCCTGGCAGATTCATCACAACTAACCGTCCATGGATTGATCGATCAGCCTGATCTTGGACAACCACTTGTGAGCTGGGATGAGCGCTCATCCAGAGCTGCAGCTGCAGTGCACTGAAACACAGGTCTTCACTTAAGTGAAAGAAAGGTTGGGAATGGCAAAATCTATTTATAAAGCCACTTTGGCAGGCAAAGGCTGTGTTCAGATTCTACAGACTCTCTTGTCAAAGACTACAAATCACAAGAGAACGTAAGATAGCTGGAGTTAACTAGCAAGTAATTCATTCTCTTGAGTCAGCTGCAACTTAAACAAGGCTTTGCTACTTAGCAGATAGACAACCACCACAGACTGGGTGAGCGGTTAGTAAAGCTGATTGATAACATACAGCATTAGACTTTTCCATGGGTCTGCTGGGGCTTGAGCTAGTGTGTATTAGCAAACCCCTAAAATCTACCTTCATCCCTTGCAGTTTTAAGTAAAGCCTGGCAGAAAGGTAACCCTTATCTTAAGGATTATTAAGATTTACTAATTTCCACTGTTGACTAATGAGAGGCAGCCTAGTATCTTATAACACTGAGGATAATTTTATTAATGCAATGTAAAGAGTGACTGTTTTGTGATGTAAAATTAATCAGTAGAGAATTGATAAAAGATGATGTAGTCTTCCTCTTTTGGTGTGGTAAATCAATATTTTAGTTCAAGGTTTATGCTGAACTTGGCGAAACATTAATACATTTTTGTTAACAGAAGCTCAGTTTAAATCATTGAAAAGGGAGGAAAGACCTTAATTTAAAAGCAAATCATACAGAAACCGCATACAAAACAGAATATACAAAGAAGCTCCTTCTTTTCCCAGGTCTCTTGCGACACAGGCCATAATACATCCATGCATATCCATATACCTGTCTGGTATACAGGAAGCAGTTGAACAGAGTGCAACTTTGTCTCTTCACAAAACCCAAAAGGTGACTGGTCAGGTGTAAAATGTCTAGAGAAAAAAAATCCAAAACAACAACATGGAACCTCAGTGAGAAATTATTATGAGCTACTTTGGACAACTAAACAGCACCAGCTATAACAGGCATAGCTGACGTTTTAATACTCAACAACGATGTGCACTTCTGCTACTAATGTAATTAGCATGGCAATGCCAACAAGCATGTGGCACAGCTAGAGACAACTATCCTGAGTTCTTGTGACCAAAAATCCCCTTTATTTGCTTGTCTGCAAAAACGTGTCAAAGTTTGGGATCACTGGAAGACATATTGCAATTGATTTGAACCTCAATGTAATCTTTTTTTCCTTCTCTTTTTATTCAACTGAGCTATATGTAACATAGTGACATCTCCAATTCTACTTTTCCTTCCTATTATGTGTCATCCTTTTTCCTGCTTTGCTTTGGAATTCGCTACTGGACTGCAACATCAATTCTTCCTCGGTTTTGGATAAAAGTTAAATGGCTTTGATCACTAACAAAATTAAAAGTATAGTTTCTTAGTGCTTAAGATACTTGGTAAACTCCCTCTGCTAGCTGGAGAAAGGGAGATTTTTTAAATTTTTTTAGGTACTCAAATAAGCATCACTTCAGCTGGAGCTGATGAAAGCTGCAGAATAAATGAACAGAAGGCAGTATCTTGATTAAGATCACACAGACAGGACTGCTGATCAGTCTCGTGTAATCCTTTAAAGTAGGCTTCTCTGAACAGTAACAGAATTTGACACAAGCTGCTTCAGAATAAGGTGTGTAAAATTTGGCTTTGCTGGTTCAGCATGAAAGTATAAAAACTCTGGGTGGTCAGACACTGGAACAGGTTCCCCAGAGAGATTATGAGTCTCCATCTGTGGAGATATTCAAAGCCTGACTAGACAGAGTGCTGGACAACCTGTTCTAGCTGACCCTACTTGAGAAGGGAGGAGGTGGGGTATTGGACTAGACGGTCTCAGGGGGTCCCCTCCAACCTAAATGGTTCTGTCATTCTGCATGCTGAGAAAAGATCATCCCTTCTGATGTATCACGAGAAGCTGCCACACATGCTCTTCACAGCATACAAGGATGTATGGTGAAAGCAGACATTAAACATTACTAGATCTGCAAAACCACCAAAGTTCTATTCTAATTGTAACAACCAGTCACATTCTGCAAATAAAATGAAACTTTGGATTTGCAAGGCCAAAATTTCTCCAACTGTGAAATAAACAGGTTCATGCTGCGCTGAGCGAAGAACTGGCCGCATAGCAGGACTCAAAGGGCTGTAGTGAATGGGGCTACACCTGGCTGGCGACTGGTCACCAGCAGTGCTCCTCAGGGTTCATTTCTAGGGCCAGCGCTGTTCAGTATTTTTATCAACGATCTGGATGAAGGACTTGAATGCACCATTAGCAAGTCTGCTGACCAATACCAAACTGGGAGGTGCTGTTGACTCTCTTGAGGGACAAGAGGCCTTGCAGAGGGATCTACATAGATTGAAGCATTGGGCAATCATCAACAGCATGAAACTGAACAAGTCCAAGTGCTGGATTCTGCACCTAGGACGGAGTAAGGCCAGGCACAAGTATAAACTGGGAGAGGAGTGGCTTGGAGAGCAGCCCTGCAGAAAGGGATCTGAGGGTGCTGGTCAGCAGCTGGCTCAACAGGAGCCCGCAGAGTGCCCTGTCAGCCAGGAGAGCAAACCACATCCTGGGGGAGCATCAAACACAGCATGACCAGCCGATCAAGAGAGGGGATTATCCCGCTGTACGCAGCACTGGTGCAGCCTCGAGTACTGTGTGCAGTTCTGGGCCCCACCATTTAAGAAGGATGTTAAGGTACTTTGAATGCATCCAGAGGGCAACAAAGCTGGTTGGAAGGGCTGGAAGGCATGTCCTCTGAGGAGCGTCTGAGGACTCTGGGTTTGTCTAGTTTGGAGAGAAGGAGCCTGAGGGGCAACCTCATTGCTCTCTACAGCTTCCCGAGGAGGGGACGTGGAGATGGAGGTGCTGAGCGCTTCTCCTCGGGATCCAGGGACAGGATGCCCAGGAATGGTTCAAAGTTGCATCCATCAGGGAAGCTCCACACTTGACATTATGAAACTTTTCTTTACCAAGAGGGTGGTCAAACACTGGAACGGGCTTCCTAGAGAGGTGGTCGATGTCCCAAGCCTGTCAGTGTTTATGAGGCATTTGGACAATGCCCTTAATAACATGCTTTAACTTTTGGTCAGCCCTGAAGTGGTCAGGCAGTTGGACTAGATAATTGTTGTAGGTCCCTTCCAACTGAAATATTCTATTCTACTGAAAAATCGGCTTTCTTCGGTATCACATTATTTCCTCAGTGCAAAAAAACCCCCACAAACCAACCCTTATAAAACCTCCAGAAATCAAAATACCAAGATTTTTCTTTCGACAAGACGTGAGACACAGCTCATTTTGGTTCTTCTAGTAAATCAACCCATAAAGGGGAAAATACATTTCTAATACCTGAAAAGCAGATACTGCACTTGGAAGCACTTTGTGTCTTTGGTAGGTAACTCTGTGGATTCCAGTGTGATGGGTATCTCACACAGCTTACTTTCTTCCCCAAGCAGTTCCACTGGCTTCTGACATATGATGAACTCATCTAATTCAAGCTGCGAAGTACCTGTTGAAGGGTCTTCATCATTTACACCTTAACAATGAAAATGCTATATTAATTGTTCAAACCATTCCATTTAGCAATAAGGAAATTATATGATACAATGTCAATTAAATACTCCAATTACAGCTACCTAGCTAGCAGTGGCTTCCTCAAACCATGAGATTTTGAAAACAGCTATGCTAGAAGATGAGAAAAACCCTTCAATTAACTCTCAACAGTCTGAATATCTGAAAGTCAGGCTTTCTGAAAGAACAGGTAAAGTGTTCATTACAAGGTAAGTCCAAAGCAATCTGTGCTGCAAATGGCTGGCTGTCAAAAAATACTGTCATTTGGTTGGAGACGTTTTAAGAAGGAAAAGGCAGCTATGATAGAAGTTTCGTTGCCTTAAACTCACCTAAGTTCTGGAAAGCAAATCCTAACAGCACTCAAAGTCATTTGAACTTTTCTATTTAGTTTTTAGTAATAAAACCAACTAGGGACAGGATGCCATTATCTGAGTTAAGATCCATCTTCACTCAATGAAGAACACTCCAGTTTGTATCTTCCCTATCTGACAAGTCGTATTTACCTTTAAATTTTCTCTAAGTACAGCTTCCATTTCTAAAAGACCATCCTTTACCATTTTAAGTTTCTTCAATTATAAATGAAGGACTATCCTAAGGTTTGTTCGTCTGCATCTGATACTTTTGGAAAGGCAGGAATTGATTACATATGGATTGATTTCTTGCAATAGACGGGAATGAAGCCTGCTGAGTAAATCTATTTCTGGGATTTCTAGGATTCTATCTAAGGCAAGCCTCTGAATAAGACAAAGGACTGAAAAATGAAAATTTGCTGACACCTTGTTTATGCAGGTTCTGAGCGTACTAACAGTTACAAAAGTGCATATGCATCGCCACAGAAGCATTCTTAAATGTGTAAGCCAGTATGCATGGTCCATTTCAAGGTTCATGAGATGCTTCTTCCATCTGGCCTCCCACTTGTCCCTTAGAAAAGACAGTTATTTGGGCAGTGACGCTGGTGGGATAATTTTTCTGAACATAGCATACTGAACTACTACTGCTTTGATATGGCCTGTGGTGGCACTCCAAAACAGGGACCTGATTCCATGTCTGTAGAGGCTGCACTATCCTGAAAGTGTCTGCAGACAGCATATTTGTTTTAAGCGTTACCTCCAGCTGCAGGTGGTACAATTTTTCATGCACTAGAGTATTCAGCTGACAGTCCTAAGATGATCTGGAAGTATTTTCTGAAGGGCAATGACTTTGTTTGAGCCTACTTTGAGAATAACACAAATTATTTAGCAGATTCTTGGAAATAAAAAATAATAATAAAAAAATAAAAATTCTGTACTTACCTACATCCACAGACTTTTCTAGTGTACTAACTGTATGTGCACATTGCTCTGTCCTGTCTGCACTTTGCTGGACCAGTTCCAGTTTCAGGATCAGAACATCCAGCTCTGTTGTTATGGCTATATGTCTGGCACAAAATGCAATAGTTATCAATGTGTAAAATCAAGGAGCGCTCAAAGTCTAACACAGTCAAATTCTGGTTTATGACCAGGTATTTCAAACAGAACATGACTAGTTTATTTTTGCAGCCTACAAGAAGATCTCCATTTACAGGACAACATGAAATGCACAGCGGAGGATCTGAAAGTGGCATTTCCACAACTGACATCTGTTCTTTTAAGGTTTCACTGTATGACTCTTCCATCTTGTGACCAACCATCCGAACACAAACACGAGAACTCCCTGCAGACATGCATCTCCAGTTCGTATACGCTCTTAAGAAAGTTGCTTTGTTTTTTTCTTCAATTGTCACCAGATAGTCTCCTTAAAAGAAAGCAGTGGTACTGATATATCATTAAAGAATAGATGACACAGTTTTTTAGCTCTTTACCTGCTGTAGTAGTATATCACAAAGAACACCTTAAATTCTCAACTCTTACGTAAAATTCCAAAAACAGGTTTCACCAATTTTTCTCTAATGAAATCCAAAGTGCAAGTTTCTTTGCTGGGTGGAACACACTTCACATACCATTAAAAAAAAGGAGTTACATATCTAGGTCCAGACTAACTCCTACGTGAATCCACTTTATGAGTTCTAATTGCAAACAAGGTGCTTCCCCTCCCCCAGCCTATCCATTAACGAGAAAATGTTTTGCTCTCGAAAGACCAACGAAAGTCAAAGATCCATGAAGAGCTATGGGTTCGGCTGGACTGACCGCCCCCGTGCTCTGAAATTAAACAAACAAACCCACCAACCCCACAAAAACAAGGGCAGGAGCACAGACTCCAACCGGAGGAAGACGGCAAAAAGCGCAGCGTGAGCAACGCGCTTCCCACGCACTCCCCACCAGCCCGAGCACTTGCAGCCCCTCTCGCAGCCCTCAGACCAGTCCGTGCCCCCACAAGCGCCAGCCCTGTGCTTTCCGACCCGCCCCGCGGCAGCCGGCCCGCTCCAACGA